TTGAGGTGACTTGGTAGATCTGGGCAAGAGGTATATCTCTCCTGCAACGATTGATTACAAGGCAGTGACCGAACCATCAGAGTTCCGACATCTCGGACGAAGGATCTTCTCTCAACCATATCTTCCTACTCTATGGGAGAAGTTTTGTGCTATGGTTGACTTCCGTGTCATGGGACTTGGATGGAGGTGTTTTGAGCTTGCGGATCTTAGGTGGCTCTATATTGAGAGGTCACAATCTCATAGAGTACAAGGACGTGGCTTGAGGCACAGGAAACTCACGACAAAATGAGAGATTGAATGTATGACCCAGTGGGACGAGTGAGGACTCTTGACGAGTGTTGGCCATGCTCCCTCCTTGTGTACTTTTTGAGATTATTATGAGTTTTCATTCTTCCCTCATTTATTCTTGTTATTTGTTAGAGTCATTCGGTGTTGCTTCATTTGCATTGACTCTGATTATTGATTGTGCTCTCTGATGATCCTGTCACAGTCCTCAAAATTAGTAAATTGGCAAAATTGATGCATGCATGACACACCAGAATTTCACGATTATTATTTCTATGATCTTTGTTGTTCTAAATCAAAATAAAAGATTCCTAAAACCGGGGACCGGCGAAGATCACAATTGAAGGGTCTCGCTCGAAGACGGACGCATACAACAGGAAGGGATTTGTTTTATTTAATTTATATACATATATATATTGCAAAACTCAACAAAATCATGTGTGACAGCCTGTTGGTTTTCTAGTTGCCAAAAGTGTGCGACACCGAGTGCGCGCACACACACACATTCACTCTCACACATACACGTGCGCTCACATGCACACACTTTTCCAGTCGTGTATAGCGAACATGACAAATGACATCAACATACAAACTACAGGTTGTGCATCCGTGCCCTCATGGTAAGTCAATACCTTTCCCCGCCTGAAAATCGTTTCCACTCTGGGTTACGCGGACGACAAGCGGGATCATGTTGCCGTTGATAAATTTCATCGCTAACCCATTTTGCTTTTTGGGACTCTTTTTCTGTCTGTGGCTGATGTATGAGAAATATACTGGTGGTTCAAGGAACCAGGGATGCCGCAAAGTTGCCCTGAACTCCAAACAGGGGCCTGAGCCTGCAGGAAGAGATTCCACCTGAGAGGAGCATATGCTCGTGCACAAGGGTTTTTAAACCCTCGTTAGAAACACAATTTTAGGAATGCAAAGCCATTCCACTATTCCTAAAAACCGAACCGCGAAAAAAAAGCAAAAACGCTCAAAGGACCAGTCGACGCAGTCGTTAAAAAATTAGTGAAGCATCACTCCACTATTCTCAAAAATCAAACCGCGAAAAAAAAAAAAGTGAAAACGCTCGAAGGACCAGCCATTAAAAAAATTAGTGAATAGAGTAGCAGCGAAGAGTGCTACGTAGGCAAGCAAACTTTAGGTGTACTTCCACTTGCCAAAAATTACACATTGGAGGTGGGTACGACAGCTTGCTGGTACCACAAATTACAAAAAAAAAAAAAAAAATCCTCAGCCAAATTGTCCTTGGATCCAAAGAACCTCGTAGGGTTCTTTGAAATTCAAGGACCGGGTTTCACAGAGTGGAGAGGGCATACACGTAGTGGAGCAATTTTTATAGACGAGAATCCGGATCATGGCGGTGCCCTATTAGCTAAAAGCCTTAAGCACAACTGTTTTTCTGTTTCTTTATCTTTGTCAGTGACATCTTTCTAAGGAATAGTCCTTAAACCACCAGTACTTGGCCCGACTATCGAGTCCGAGCCTTGGCCGACCGGTATGCCAAGCCGTGCCGAGGCTTGGATTACCGGGCGCTGTCTTCCCAAACCTCCGCGGAAAGAGGGGGAACTAAACGCCATTCTTTTCTTTTTTTCAAAGTTCTTTTCGTCATTCCCTCTGTGGAAAGAGGGGGGACTAAGCCAAAAAAGAAAATGAAAGAAAAAAAAAGAAAAAAAAGAAAAAAACAGAAGGAAAAAAAAAAAAACCTTAAAAAAAGAGAAATCATGACAAAAAAAAACGTTCAACTTTTGTTGCAGCGCGCGCGCGCGCACGCGAGAGAGAGAGAGAGAGAGAGAGAGAGAGAGAGAGAGAGAGAGAGAGAATACGTATCGGGAACGCATCTTCCCGCGAAAGCGGGAATATTCGTTCCCGTTTTGCACTTGGAAAGGGGCGAGCGCGCGCGCGCGCTAGAGAGAGAGAGAGAGAGAGAGAGAGAGAGAGAGAGAGAGAGAGAGAGAGAGAGAGAGAGAGAGAGAGAGACGACGACTTTGCCGCGGCGTTCCGTGCAGGTCGCCGCCTCTCTCTCTCCCTCTCTCTCTCTCACGTGCGGCTTGCCAAGTTCAAAGCGCGATAAACCTTCCCTCTTTCGCGGGAAGATGCGCCCTATATTCCCACATCTCTCTCTCTCTCTCTCTCTCTCTCTCTCTCTCTCTCTCTCTCTCTCTCACACACACACACACACACACACACACACACACACTCACCCACGTGCGTGAATCTTCCCGCGTTCCCCGTTACCTATCCGTTCGAAAATCGAAAAAGGGAATTTGGGAAGATTCACGCGCGCGCGCGCGTGTGTGTGTGTGTGTGAGAGAGAGAGAGAGGGAGAGGCGGCGAGGGAGAGAGAGAGAGAGGTGAGGCGAGTTTGCCGCGGCCCTCTGTGCATGTCGCCGTCTCTCTCTCTCTCTCTCTCTCTCTCTCTCTCTCTCTCTCTTCTA